GGAGGCTGGATGCACTTGGTCACGACGATGCAGGAGACTTTGGAGATGAAGATGCCGATGAGACGAGGCGATACTCCGATATACCCCCCGACGTACTGGAGTACGCCACCAATAATGCAACGCAACCTTGGTCACAACATACCTTCCAGAGGCCTACCGAGACCCAAAAATATACCCAGGGATCGAACATCCCTTCACCTGGCCGGCAAGCCCTTGGTCGTACAACCGTCAACACCAGCAGGGTACAACCATCCACACCCCGGCAGCCTTTTGAATATGGCGAGCAAGTGCAGTTGGAATTGATGGAAGGCAGCAGAGTGGTGTCCGAAATCAGGACAGTCAATGTACCCCGGAATAATGGAAGCGTAGAAACAGAGCGTGGTTTGTCATATCAACAATTCTCCCAGGCACACTCTCGCCAGGATGAGCGACAATCCCTCCGCCATCAAGAACAGTCGTCGGCTTTGACTTACGAGGCATCTTCATCAACAATCCAGCAAAGCAGGATACATACCTCTCAAGCGCGGGGACACGCTTCGTTATCCAGGACAGGACCATTACAGAACCAGCAGCTACAGCAGCTTTCATCAATGTCCCGCTCAGGAATTATCCCTCCCACTGGGTCATTTAGTCGACATGATTCGCCTTTGGGCCCCACCGGTCCAAGCATGTCTGCATCTGTCCCAGCCCTGGTCGGTGTTTCTTCGAGGCTCCCGGTTCCCAAGTCGCGACTTGGCACACCCAGCTTGCAACTCCAACCACAACCGCATCAGTCTCCAGACCTGCTTTCCTCAACACCCATTAGGAGCGGTTTCATGAACACTTTTGCATCGCCCAAACTCGAATTTTCCCAGCGCTTCAATGGATCGACACCCAATCCCCCAACTCCAACCAAGGCCCACCCTTACCAGTTGTCTGACCACCCGCTCGCACCTTCTCATTCACCTTCACCATCACCAATGACAAGAAGACGCTCGTCAGATATGGCCAGTATCCCTGGTGGCTCGGCGTTTGGCAAGACAATATTTAGCCGTCGCAAGCTTGTGACTCGGATGGGCACCACAGAGGAGGAGGATGGACCCAGGACCAACGGCCAGGATTCACCCCACGATCGGAAATCTCAGCCTGAGGGACTGGCCATTGACTTTACATCGACTTTGGATTCGCCTATCGCACTTCCCAAGACAAACAGTCTGGGAGACGTTGATCTTGCACATCGACTTTTACCATCCACAAAGCTGTCTGTTCAAATGGGGGGAAGGGCACAGTTGTACAGGGACGACCTTATGGACATGGACATGGATGTTGACATGGACATGGACCAGGGACCAGTCCAGCATATTGATATGGTGGTGTCGTCGATCTCTTCGCCCATGCCACCCCCATTTTCTCGACCGCAACATGCGTTTGGCGCGGCGCCTGGGTCGCCTCATCACGCGGGCTCACAGTCGCCGCGCTCAGGTACCGGTACCGTCATTCAGACTGTTCAAGGAGTTGAGAGACCCGCGAGCGCAATGCAGAGGTCATTCAGCCAGGATCGCGAGCTTTCGGAGCTGGCCAGGAATCGAGCATTAGATTCTCCTCGCAAGACTTCAAGGGTCACACAACATCGCCCATCGTCCGCTTTTATCTCTGAACCTTTGAACTTTACTCAGAACGAAGATCATAACTCTCCTCGGTCACAACCCAAGTCGCAACAACACTCGTTCCTTCAGTCTGGCTCGCAAGAGCAACGGAGCCATGGATTGTCACAGACACTGAAGCACTATTCCTCGCAGCCAGTCTCATTGTCCCTGTCGCAACAATACCATCAACAATCGCCCTCTCAAGATCGCTCGCATCCACAGCAACAGCAACAGTCCCGGAACCTTACGTCATTGTCTACCCCATCCCTTCGAAAGTCTGGTACAGAGCAATTGTGGTACAACCCCATGGATAATCAAGGAGCTTCAGATTTGTTGGTGGAAGGCATGTACAGAAACGCCAGGAGCCCAAGTCCAGACCAGACCCCATTCAAGGCAAATGGACCGATCGAACTTGGTCTGGGATCCTCCCCAACAAGACGATCCATCAGCAGTTTTCCTTCAACACAGCCCATGCCGTCTCTCTTTGGGACCATATCACAGCCATCAACTCAAAGGCGATCTGGTGAAGCGCAAGTAGACGACTCTTGCCGAAACCAGTATACCAGCCCGCTCCAGCGCAGAAACCAGCAGGCCAAGGAACAGCAACTTCTCCATCGGTCACTAAACGCTCCTCCCCCGGCCCTTAGCACGCGCACGGATCAGGAGATGGTCGATCAGGAGCAGGAGCACAAGGCAGAGGAAGAGATGTTCCCATCGTCCCATGGTCGTTCTCAACAACATCTTCATCGCCGTCGATCCCGTCAGATGACGACGCCTATTACTGTGGAACAGGAGGATGAGCCACAAGACTCATCCATGGATCAAAGCTCTACTCGACTGGAGTTTGAAGAAAAGAGACAACAGCAGATCCAACAGCGTCGCAAGATGCAGCAGCACAGACTGTTGAAGCAGCAGCAGCGTCAATCAGGAATTCTGTCCCCTAGTGGTGCTGAACCCGGCGAATCGCCCCCAGAACAGCACCCGAGCAACTTCAACAAGCAGAGCAACGAGACTACCATGGCAGGCATGTCTTCAGGCGGCCACTCTGACGAGCAGGACCATGTGGAAGTGCCCTCGACTAGCTGTGTCACGACCAACTCTCTTTCCATGTCCATGCATGATCAACACCAGAACGACTTTCAGCAGCAACAACTTCAGCAACAAAAACAGGCTCAACTGGCGCAACTTTCACAGGCACAAGCACAACAAGCACAAGCGCAACAAATTCAGCGCGCGTACACGCCAAAATTGCCACAAGAAGTTCCCCTGGTTGGCAAGGCGGCCATCAAGAACCTCAGGAACAAGAATCCCGATAGCAAGGGATTGTACGAACAAGTCGAAATGCACCTCTGCAAGATGTTGCGCGCCCACAGAGAAGGATTCCTGCTCTCGCTAGCACCCGACTATACTGGCCAGCTCAAGAACATGCCTGAGATCCCAATCGTGTTCATTGCTCGATGGATCGAGTACGCTCGTTATGGTGTTGGTTGGTATCTGACCAATGGTGTCATGGGGGTACGATACAATGACAAGACCATCGTTTCGCTTTCTCCAAACGCCATGTAAGTTGTTACTGTTCCTGTTTCTCGTCGTTTTCTTTGAGTAGATGATAGTGAATAGCGTCATTATTAACCTTTCATTCTCCCATGTCATAATATAGTGATATCGAGATTATCGAGGCACCTAGATCGGCTCACAAGCGCCCTACGAGAAAATCAGGTACCACTGCTTCAGGCACGACGGCGCCTTCTTCGGCCAACAATAGTATACATGATCCTCAGGACGACAAAGGTATTAAGCGTCGATCCTATGCTGAGAGCGATCCCACGGAATACGGCGAATCCAAGGACCCAGCAGTGCTCATTTCTTCACTCGATCTCAAGGCATCCACCATCAAGGATCTGGAGCGACGCATTGATGACGATGGCGACACCCAGATGATGGTCATTTACGACGACCAGAACAATATTGTCAACCCTGCCACTCTGGTACGGACCAGCACCGGGAATGAGTTGAGATCACTAAGCCAAAACAGCCCGCAGAACAGCCAGAGCCGAAGCGAAGACACGAGCCGTGAAGCGAAACCGCGCTACGAGAATGAGTCGGGCGAGATCCCATCCCTGTACCTTCAGCAGCACGACCCCGCGGAAGCATTCTACGACGAGTGGGACCACGACTGGTTTTTGCAGAGCTTGAAGCGCGTGTATTGCCGAACCAACAAGTACCCACCACGGTTCGAGAAGAAGCTCAAGGTCCAGGCTTCGTACAAAGACTATATGCTACAGTTGCTTCGTGGACTGATTTGCTGGTCGTACGAGGACAAGCTCCTGACTCGCGGCATGCCCTTTCTGACCAACCTCTTCCGCCGGAAACACATCCTGATGCGCCTCAGTAACGGGATTGTCCAGGTAAATGAGAAAGCTTTTGCATTACGATCCCACCAATAACTTCTTGTAGGACATTTTGCTCAAAATTTTACTCCTTGTCTATTGTAGATCAACTTTGCGGATCATACCAAAGTTGTCTTTTCCAAGTGCGGTCGTGTGCTGACGTTTATGGACAACATGCAGCCGCCCGTCCGATTGACGATGAGTGTTCATCAGGCTCTGATTCCTGAGTTCTTTTATGACCCTGAACACCCCACCGATGGCGATCTGCTTGTGGGCGACGAAGTCAGACGCGTCTATCACCTGGGCCACGACGGCGATGAGTATCGACATGGTCCTAGTGCGTCTCCTCGCCACAATACCCCCGAGTCGCGCTTGTGTCTGGCATCCGGTGCAACGGCCGACATGATGCACGAGATTGATGTGCACATGCGACCACGGAAAACGGTTCTTGAGAAGCTTCAGGGGCGTATCCATGGACATGGACAAGGACAAGGCACAGGAGTCTATGGCCTGGAGGACATGAGCCTGGAGGCTGAGTCGTACCCTCTGGACGAGATTGAGATTGCAGAAGAGACGGATGGGCCCGTGTCGATCCAGATGATGACGTTCCGTACCCTGCACGAGGAGCTGGTACGACGCCTGAAGCTTGGGCAGAGTCTACTGCAACGGCGGAGGCTGGAACACTGGGAGGACGAGCGTAAAGAGGCGCTGGAGCGAGAACAGCTGGCACGGGATCGGGAGGACCACCGGCGTCGGCGCAAGAAGCGGGAGATGAAGAAGGGAGACCATGAGGCTGAGTAAAATGGCGAAAGGAATCTTGTTCAATAGATAGAAGAGACAGTAAAAAAAAAAGGAAAAACTCGACAAAAAGATATTAAAATTTGGGAATCACACCCCAAACTAAAGTGGCGTATGCAGCATGGGGCGAAGGCAGTAAGCAGAGGGTTCATTATCTGAAGTTCTTGAGGAGCATTATAAGAAGAAGGGAGAGGTGGCCGAGCGGTCCAAGGCGCTGCATACTCAAGAAACATTTATTCCATGTAGTCTGTTCTCCATGACAGTCGTGGGTTCGAATCCCTCCCTCTCCTCTTTTTTTTTTTGTTTGAGTAAACAGAGGCTTGAACCGTGCCTCCGATATTCCTTGTTTTTAGTCCAGCAATAGCTCCAAATCATTCACACCACACAATGGAGAGGTGACCGAGTGGTTCAAGGCGCTGCATACCCAAAAAAACCCTGTTTTCATGCAGTCTGTTCTCCAAGACAGTCGTGGGTTTTCGAATCCCTCCCTTTCCTCTTTTCTTGTTTTCCCTTTTTTTTCCCTTGCACCACGCCTCCATCAGCATTTCTCCTGTCATGGTTTGCGCCCAAGCTGGAGGACAATTTTGAAATCAAATTGGGCGAAGTCCGCTGGACTTTAATGTGCGTAAACGTCAAATTACAAAAAAATCATCAGTACGCCACCAACTATGGTTCGGCTGCTCATGCCAATGTCAATGCCCATGCCCCGTCTTGCAAGACTATCTACCTCCGTCCCATCTGACAAAGAAAGAAGTAAGAGAGTAGGGACAAGGGCAAAGACGAAGAGATCAAAATAAATGTTTTCTTTTCCTTGCTTCATCGCATGAATAGACCACCAAGGGAATAGAGCGGATATCTAAAGGTCGTTTCTCAAGAGCCGGAATGAATTCTTGTTCAGAAACGACCATACCTTTTTTCTTTCCACATTTCTTTCTCTTTCATCTTTTTCTTTTTTATTCCGTTCTCTCGCTCACGCAACAACAACCACAATCCTTCAAGCACCTCTCTGTCAGACAACGTATGTATAAAAAGCAAAATGATTGCAAAAGTTGTGTGCATCATCATCTAATCCGAGGCAACATATATGACCATCCGAGATGGCCATCGCCTTGTCAAGACAGGACCCTACCGATACTTGCTCCACCTGTCCGTCCTACACTGGACTGATTACATCCTTTTTGACGTATGTGGCTGTTGTGGGCTACGACGGTTTGTGGACATATTTGGTTCAGCCAAGACATCCTATCCCCATCCCAAACACACTGGTAGCACTCGCCATGCTCTGGTACCAGATGGCCGTCTTTTTCAATCGTGCTGCGGTGGAAGAAGTCATGTTGGCACAAGTTTTGGGGCAGTAATGGGCGGATCATGTGGCGACCCGCTGGCGGCTTGTGCCTCTGATCTATTAATAACGAGAGAACAAAACATCTAGGGCACGGATCTTGTACAAGGCAGATTCTTCGACAGCTACATTTTTCGTCTGCGTGGCATTCATGCCAAAGAACACCGAATGAAGTCAACGATACATATTTTTTTTTTTATTCTTTACCACATGGTCAATCAAGGATGGAGCCGTTGGAGTGATTTCAATCGATCGCTCCTCCCCTACTCACAGAACGAACGGGATGAACCTCCAGCGCTTGGAGGCATACTCTTGCCACTCTGAGCCGAAATGTTGGTACAGCATCTTTTCCTCGCCTTGCACACGGAAGACGGTCAAGCTGTAGGCGAGAATCAGTCCACCCAGTGTCAAGACCGAACCCGGAACTGGAACAATCATCAAGGGCTTGATGAGATAACTCCAGTAACCTTGATACGCCATCGAGTAGATGTAGGGGACGCCGGTCAAAATCAGTGCAGTATACGATGGATGGAGCAGGTATTTGTAGGGTCCATCCTGTACAAGTCGGTGTCCTGGGCGGATGGTAAGTGAGTACTAGAAAAGGAAGAAAAATGTGTTAGCCACCTGACCATTAGACAAGGTGTTTCTATTTTCTAGGTCCCATTTGACGAAGCATTCTCTCTCTCTCTCTCTCTCTCTCTCTCTCTCTCTCTCTCTCTTACTGTGAAGAATCGGTCCAAAGTCCTAAAGGACCATGCGCGGAGGAGGTATCCAAGGACACCACTGATCGTGGTCAGGACCTGCCACGGCCTGAGTTCTGAAGAGATGATTCCGCGGGACATTAGCACGATATACAGGGCAGCAGCAACAATGGCGGCGGTCTGACCAATGCGCGGCATGAGGTCGATCATGATAGTGGAAAAGAGGCCTTCGTCTTTGACCCTGTCCGCCTTTTCCTTGTTGACGGAGGAGGCGGGCGGGCGGATCGAGAGGACGGTGGCCAGGGTGTGAATCGAGATGCAAGCGGCTTTTCCGATCATAGCTTCAATATGTAAGGAGGAGGTTATTGACGTTCAAAGGTGGGTGACTGTAGAGATGCAGGAAGGGCGGTGCAATATGTGGAGAAAAATTTTGTGGAGGGGGTTAGAAGTGATGTGATGTGATGTGTTTTTTTGGGGGGTTGAGATGTGGAGATGAATGAGCGATGTGGATGAATGAGATGCAGTCGCGAAGAATTTGTCCATTCGTCTGCTCTTTTATGGACGTCACGTCAGAGAACTCTTTCTGGCCAACATTGTTGGTTTTTCTTTTGTCTGTACTGGTTAGCTGCACAGTGGACGCAAAGAAGGCAAGCGGTACAGGATGACCACATGGAAAAACGAGAGGAGGGTTGGATTGGATGTCAGCATACATGGGGACACAAATGTACCCTTTTTTCCTTCTTTTCTTTTTGCTCAGCCGAGCCATAGTTCATGTGCAAAGTGGAACCGATGAGCCCAACACTTTTGCCGCAGGGATAGTTGATTCTCTGTTCGGTCGCCGTCCATGTGTCTGTGGACTGAAGCATATGCCTCTGTGCGTGCACGTCAACCGGAGAGAGAGAATACGATCATAAAAAAGTCTGTGGCTGCCAAGACGGCTTACTCGCAAAGGCAATGGCAAACACACCATACCGACGCTTGCTTCGTCATTAGTATTGCCGGGTCAGGGTAGCACAACTCATCTCCCCTCCTGTCTGTGCGGACGAAAATGAACGATCGCTGCATGTCGCACGAGGATGACTACCGACTGTTGACTAGAAGTGCATATATGGTGCATAGCATAAGCACTCTTTTTCATATTGAAATAAAAAAACGCGTTCTGGGTCCAAACGCCAAACCATTTGACTACTCCAAAGGTGCAGGTAAAGGCAATGGACTAAATGACCCAGAGCGCCTCGACCCTCGAGATCCGTGCCCAGCACACCCTCGTCCGAACACTCATCCAAACACCCATCCAAAAAAAAACATACACACCACCATAATCGTTTTTTTTTTTGCCTTCTCAAATTGAGATGAAAAACCACCTTTTTTCACCTCCCCCTGCAGACTCACCCAAAAAAGTCTTCTCTTGACCCTTGCCCAAATTGCAATCTCATTCATCTTGTTCCTTTCCATTCCTCCTCGACACATTTCTTCATTCCATGGCTACCCACTTCAGGTTCCATGCCCTCCACATCCCCGAAATCACGGGCATCATTGTCTCGTTTCTGACCTGGAAGGACCTGCTGGTCTGTCGTGGTGTCTCCCACGAGTGGCGCAGCCTGTTTTCACCCCACCTGCGCCTGTCCGCCATCTATTGGAAACAGAACCAAGACGAACGAGCTCAACTGGTCCAACGCCTCGAGACCCTGGGGCCCTTTGTCGACTCGCTCAGGGTCGTCTATCCTTTCGCCCAAGAGCTCGAGACCATCAGTCGCACGTGCACCAATTTGACCCACATTGGCTTCTTTTTTAGTTTTAGAGACACGCCAGCGGTCCATCTAGGTGCTCTGCAGCAGTTCCTTGCCACCATGAAGACATTGGAGAGTATCGACGTCTTTTCACACAATGACGACGCAAGGACAGCCATCTTATATTGCCTGGCCACGTATCCATCCACGAAACCATCTGAAGCGTCGTCTCCATCAATTGCTTCCTTATTGCCTGACTCTTGTTACTGTCCTTCCAGCGCAAACACGACCAACACAACCACCACAACACCGACCCCTTTAATGCCACCGCCACAACAAGCACCAACGACTGGAATACTGAAGAAACTCAAGATTGAGCATGGAGGCTATAGCATGAAGGTTGCGCTCTTACGCTGGGACCATGTCGAGGCAGTACTGGAACGGAATCAGTCCATCACGCATTTGCATCTCCAAGAGGCGATTGTCAAATCCAATGCCGAGCTGCTTGCCAATCCCGAGGACGAGGATCTGTATTGGGCCGAGGATGTTGCGTCCCGCGTCCTTGGAAGTCTTCCGATCAAGCGCAGATTCAGCCGTTTCCTCAACAGATTGTCGTCACTGTCGTTTCGACGGAGGTCAGTATCAGGGCCGGCAGCTCCATCATCAGTATCATCCATAGCGCCCGCACCAACCAGTTTATCGACACAGGACGAGGCCTCATCGTCAACGACCCAACCAGAACCACTTCCTACACTCGTTTTCTCGACTGTCCTGCCTGATGTCGTTTTCGGCAACATAAAGAATGTTGTGCTCCACCAGATCACAATGTCCAAGGAACTGTATTGTAGCCTCTTGTCCCGTTGTCCGCAATTGACCACGCTGGAAGTGACTGGAACAGGATCCATCTTCAACAACTGGTCTGATGTTGCTGCAAGTTGGTGGGATTGGCTCGAGCACTGTCCGTTACTTGAATCGGTGTTGATTGACCAGCACTTGTCCATGGATATCCGCGACGTATGGGCAAGAGCCCCCTCATGCCTGCGCTCCTTTCAGATGAACGGTATCGACTGGGTCGTGAAGCCGGAAGCATCTAGCAATAGTAACAGCAACAGTAACAGTAGCGGGTCTGGAGGATTGAGCTTTTTTGGCAGCATTGGCATGACGGCTGGATCAACACTGACGCGACTCCATCTGGAGACGAGTCAGCATATTGGAGAACCAGTGATTCACTTCATCATGCAACACTGCTGGTCCCTACAATCACTCTGCCTTGCCGTGAAGACCTATGACGCTCAGAACTTTTCAAAGTTTTACGGCGAGTATCCCGCATGGGCCTGCGGCGACACGCTTAGGGTGCTCGAGATCAAGGCGCTACACGAGAGCTACGGCGATGTTCTGAGTCTGTGGACGGTGCAAAAGTTTCTGCAGCGGATGGAGGACCTCAAGGTGCTCGAGGAAGTCATTTTACCGCTGCCGTTCATGGGTGACATTTATCGAGCCACTGGGGCGGATCATAC